AAAGAAAGAAAGAAAAAGGAAGGAAGGAAGGAAGGAAGGAAGGAAGGAAGGAAGGAAGGAAGGAAGGAAGGAAGGAAGGAAGGAAGGAAGGAAGAATGAAGCTGTCTTATATCTAAGAGCAAGTATTTGAAGACTTGGAGCTGGATGGAAGAATCACCTCTACCTTCTACGCCACCCTCTCCTGTGACCACTTGTTGCCAAATATATTGAACTGGAGCTCAGTCTTACTGTAGTAATTTGAGATCTGGACATCTTTAAAGTCCCATGAAGAGGGAAGGTCTCTAGGGATGTCTATGACCTTTTGAGGACTATTTTAAGTGAAAAGTCAATTGGCAATGAGGCAGCTGGAGGTGAGACCAGCACTACTATATTGTGCATTTGGAGAACAGAGATTCATTGGAGAATTTAAAAAAGCAGCCTTTGTCAAAATCAAGCAAGATAGAGAAAGCATCAGAAATAAACGATGCTTGCTAATTTTGCTGCAAGGTTTTCTGGAGGTGGGAGAGGGAGAACTATTTAAGGACAGGTGGCAGATGGCAGAAGAGGAAGCTGTGATTTCTGTGTTTTGAATTGAGAGACGATGGAGCAGAGAAAGGAGCCTAGACACACACTCTGGTACTTTGGGTTCTGACATCAGGACGCTTATCATCAGATACTGCTCCAGAGAGGAAGGCTGAGCAAAGGAGGCTGACTACAGCCTGGCAGTTGCTGAGAACAAGACTGTGGCCTGACCTCCAGACTCACTTAGGAACACATGAAAGACCTAAGGTTGTTATGAAGGAAATAGGAGAAATAATTTTTTAGTAATGTTAGTAAGTATGAGATTATTTTATTGGTCAAGGCCTGGGGAAAGATATGGCATATGGCATTGACTTATGTCACTCTTGAATACTCTGCTATACTTTCAAACATCACAAATTCTGTTTTACCTACTTGCAATCAAACACAACAATATACAAAACAATAACTAAATCTGGGCTTTTTATATCTACAGAAAAATGCTACCAGTTATGCTCTTGAAGGAACCAGGGAGTTTTAAAATTATACATATAAATTTATGTGACCTAGATTTCCTCTTTGCCTCCAAGTTGAAATGAAGTTTTGGTAAATTGGTTTTAGTGATTACAAAAATAGAGAAGGAAGGCAGAGGCAGAGAGGCCAACAGACCAAGGTGGCTGTTTGACTCAGTTAGTTTTAGAACATTTCCAAAGTTTGTAAAGCAGCCATGACAGTTAGGAGAGTGGTCAGGGAAATATGCACAGAAACTTGTAGGGGGGGAAGGAAATTCTAAGACTTCAGGCCATCTGTCCTTTAGTGCTTTTGGACTATTGGGAGAATGAGGTTTGCACAAAGGAGTCAGATTGTCATGGGATTTTCAGCTATGCAGTATGAATTCCAAGTTGGTATGATGAGCTGAAAACACTGTGTGTGATAAACAGAGAGGGAGAGAGGTAGGAGCGGTTCTCAGGGACAGGGGCAAAATGGTGCATGATTGCATGTTTAAAACACTGCTAAAATAAATAGAACAAAGTAGTAGGGTATTTTACGAAATCTAATAGGTCTTATAATAAAAAATTCAGATCCAGATATTGGGGTAAATGCTGAAAGGTCAGAGAAGCAGAGCAAGCCAGAGCTGCTACCTCCTACCTCACCAATTCCTCAGCCTGAAAGAGTCTCAGCCTATAGGCCTCTAGCTGAATGAGCTTCCTCAGCTGAAAAGGCTTCAGTCAAAAAAGCCTCTAGCTGAAAGGGACACTTCTGCAGAAAAGCCTTTAGTTCCTGTCTCCTCACACCTTACAACCTTTCTCTGCCCTGCCATATTACTTCCCGGGATTAAAGGCATGAGATTTCAAGTGTGCGTCACCACTGCCTGGCTCTGTTTCTCTCCTAGGCTGAGTCAATCTCATGTAATTCAGGGTGACTTTGAACTCACAAAGATCCAGACCAATCTCTGCCTCATGAGTGCTAGGATTAAAGGTGTGTGCCACCACTGCCTGGCCTCTATGTTTAATCTAGTGGCTTGTTCTGTCCTCTGATCTTCAGGTAAATTTTATTAGGGTACACAATATATCACCACACTTCTCCTTTTTTGTCAATAATAATAATAATAATAATAATAATAATAATAATAATCTTTTGGTGCTAGAGTTATCCCCTTGAACGAGTGGGTTGCCATAAATCATTGAGAGGGTCAAATTTCACTTCTGGGCTTTCACCAAGCAGAAGGAAGCAAATGATTCCAAGATCTGTCTTAAGATCCAGAAAAAAATTGAGGAAATGCAGAACTAGAAGAGGCCATAAGAACTTAAGCCCCAGAAAAATTCGAAAACATAAGGAAGGTTTTGCATTTCACTTTTAATTTTAATGGAAATCTCGAAGGGCCGGGTAGATAGCCCTGTCATTTTGGTCTTTGAAGAAGCACATTATTAATAGTTGTAGAGGCAGACAGGCGCCTAAGAGCAGGCAGGCGGCTGATAGCTGGGTGAGAGGGTAGCTATTCTGCCCTGCTGCTAATCATTTAACTGCATAGAGATGATAACAAGAATTTAGCTAGGGATCACAGCTTGAATCATTTCCTGATTGTAAGTCACTCAGAACATTCTCCTAAAAATATTTCAGCCCCAGAGAAGTGAAGGAGCAGTAACAGCATGCACCCGGTGTCTGCTGAAGGAAGTTCAGGGTGACGGGACTGACATGACATTTAATTTCCTTGTAAAGAGCAGTAGATACCTTGGTTATGAAGATAATGAGATCAGCCACCATATATCATTTATAACTCATGTTTTGGTTTTCTTTTTGTTTTTTCCCAAGAAGAAGTCACATGGATGTGTTAAAACTGGAACTGAAAGACAGTTGAAGAGAAGTCATTATTTCATGGTGAGTTGCTTGTGAGGAGAGTTCCAGTTGCACATGGACATGGTGGAGAGGAAGGTTTCTTTATGAAACCGAGAAAAATTTTTCCTTGAACACATGAATCACTGAACTGAAACCTCTATTATGTATTGATATTACAAACCCTACCAAGTCAAGAATAAAAACCGAGCATTTATCTACACCAATGTGGAAAAACAGATGCCTCTAAAGAGCCTTTCGGACTGAGAGTTTAATTGAACTATCCCCACTTATTTCATTCTAGTGATAACGGTCTGCCAGGTGGTATCTCTGTTCTTTAAAATTGGCTTTGTTCTTACTAATAAATCAGAACCTGCATTTCTCATCTTTAGGAAATTGCTCCAACAATAAGTAATGCTCTCCTGTTAAGTGAAATGTATCGGTGCAGTTGTATTAGGAGGGCACCTTCAGGGTCACGCAGGCAGACTGGAGGGAGAGGATGACTGTTTTGTGCTAATGTGTTGTGTTGAAGTACGATGGAGTCAACTTGTGATTACAGTTATGTTCAGTAACTTGTAAGGTGCCAGGACGCTTTTCAACAAAGCCAAAAGACAAAGACTAAGACAAGAAAGCCAATGATATTGCTCCAGGAACATAAAGGTCCCTTCATCCTCAATATTTATTTTGTTTCTCATAAGTCAAGTATTCTATGAGGCTCTTTTCGGATTTTTGGCATGTGAACATTTTCCCACTGAAATTCCTGGTTGCTCTTAACAGTCCAGTGCAAATCTAAGTGTCTGGAACTTCTTCAGTGAGTGGGCATGCATCCTATAAAAGTTATCCAGATCATATAAATATTGACATAGATCTGGCTTCCTTAAAAGTCATCTTTCCAACATCGGTACATATACCTACTATGGGATTTGGGGTGTGTGTGTGTGTGTGTGTGTGTGTGTGTGTGTGTGTGTGTGTATGTGTGTGTGTGTACACAGATATGTTTATAGAAGCAAGAGGACAACCCTTTGACACAAGGACTCTACTGGCTGGGAACTCACCAATAGACTTAACTGCCTGGCCAGCAAGCATCATGGAGCCTCCTGTCTGCCTTCCCATCCTTGTGATTACATTATGCCTGGTTTTTATATGGGGGCTAGGGATTAGAGTGAAGTCTTCCCGTTTGTAGGCAAGCACCTAACTGATTGAACTACAGATCTGGCTGGTATATTTAGTTTTGAATGTTGCTAAGACTTTTTTTTCTCACTTGAGAACTTAACCTTTTCTCTGGCTAGAACATGCCCTGAAACAAGCACACTAATTCTTTCTGAGTTTTGTTTAAGCAATAATGCAGCACTATGTACCTGCCATTACTGTAAGCCTTTATAAATATCATCACATCTATGCCTTCATAATAAATGGTTCAGAAAGAAACTAGCTTTACCTTGTATTATAAACGAGGGCACTGAAACATAACTGCTTGGGATTTCACAAACACTTATAAAAAAAAAAGTTGTCTGGCTCCAAAGTTCACAAGATCCAGTAGCATGTTCCTTTGTATAAAGTGCCAACT